GGTCCGCCCCCGCTGCCGCTGCTCGGCAACTCCTGGCGCTTCCTGCCCGTCGTTGGTGAGTTGCTGCGCTCGATTGATTTGCCACACAAAAGAAAGGTGTTCGTGTCTGGCGATCAGACCATGCTTTCTAAATGGTTTTGGGGTCGCTAAATCTGAATCCGGCTTCTATTTTACTCCATCACATCAGGTTTTTGACAAACCACAAAAAGTATGAAAAAATTAAAGATATTTCTAACCCATTCGACAGACCATGGTGCCAATATGTTTTGGGGTCGCTGAAACCGAATCTCCCATCCATTTAATTTCATCACATGAGATTTTGTATATAAATGATACACTTACAAGCTCTTCTTGCTGTTGACTGTAGTCTAAACGTATGTGTTAAATACAAAGAGTAAAGTAAGTTGTCTTTATCTTCTACATTGAAAATTTGATTTTCCAAAAACAAAAATCAACACATTTTTTTAAATACAAGATTGATTGATGGTGGCAAGAATGTATTGCAACTGAACTATTACTAAAGTTTTGAAATTGTCTCCTTTGCTCTAATGTGTGCGAATTTCTACTTGCTTCTTCATTGATTAAACTGTGGCAAACGACGATTTTTTTGTTAGTATTCAAAGACAATAAATGTCATTTTGACGAATGACATTTAACTGACTGGTAATTAATCAATTATTGATTATACTCTTTGAAGAGTACACTTGTTAAAATGCTTTTATAAAGACAAAAGTAGCCGTTTTTATATGAATAATAGTGGAGTATAAAAGAATTTATGTTCTAACACTAAAACAAAACAAAACTACGGCTCAAAACCAGAGAAACATGAACCATTACATTTCATGATTGCCAGTCATTTAATCACTACAATAAAAATTGCATATTTAGGGCCGACATAGACGAAAGTTTGAATAACAATTCATATCACTTCGAAACATAAGTAGTTATAATATGTTTATTCTCCATTACGAATTGTTTACGCTTGAGCTTTTACAAGATTGGTGATGGAGAATGTACGCTCTAATGCCATCCCAAAAGAAAAAAAAATATTTGTTCTCTTTTAGTAACGCGCCTCTTTGGTCACACCGTCTGTCATAATGCGCTTTGATTCCGAAAGCTTTGGGCGCGGCGTTCTTAGTCTAAAAGGCTTCGCGCGTGTTGGAGCGCGGAACGAGGTTCGCGAGGCGCGGAATTGTCAAAGAGCCATTCGCAGTTGCAGTTAACGGCAGTGCGTTAATTGAAAGGAGGAACAGGGCTCGTGTGACGGGTGTGTGCGTGTTGACACGATGTCGAAGGTTAAACCTCTTGTCGGAACGGGAAAACAAACACGCATAACTTGGATGTTGGTCACTGTGCCTGGGATGGTCTGGTGCAGGGATTGAGTGATGAGATGGTAATAAGCGGCGAGGTAATTCGTGACGTATCCGAGAACCTCTATAGTAGATGTTGGTTCCTTCATGCCAAGTACTTTGACACACCAGCCCGCATTTGATTTTGTGACCTTTGTGACCTGATATATTCGTTCGTTAAATATCTGCAGTTATTCGATTAAAAATTTTCGAATGAATATTCCGTTTGTGTGTGTGTTTAGGTGTGCCCTGCCTTTATATTTGTGAATTCTGGGAGGAATATCTTTTAATAATCATCACGTCAATGTAACATACATTTTCAATATCGCGTGATAGAAAACTTATATTGTAACCCTTGTCTCAGGAACCGAACTTTTCTTCCTCCATTTATTTCTAATAGATCAGTTTTTTTTAATTCCCAATTTAATTCATGATTATATCATGGTTGAGCAAGAATTAAGTTTAAAAAGGGTATTGAGATTGGAGTATTGAAAATAATTTCCAAATCTTAAGACGACAAATAAACATTAAATCAACACGTTCAATATTATTCAAAACTGATTTTTCTTAACAAGTCTACAAAATTGATCAATGAAATCAACTGACGTAGTAGAATGCATACATAGGCGAGATAGATATTGTTCTGCTCATGAGACCTTCCTTGTGTGCACCATACATTAAACAAACGCATAACAGGGATCCGTAATGTACAAAATGTTGCGCTGATCAGATGCAGTTAGGAACCTCAGAGTAGAACTGTATGGTTAAGTGGCAGAGACAGAGTCTGTGGTGTCGGAAGAAGTTCTACCTTTAATAAAAGAGCAGCACTTCACAGAATCTCTGCTTAACACAAGGTTTAAGGTCTCTTATAAGAGCCTGTTCCCACATTACATGCCAGGAATGGGATCGTTTATCTATTTCATTGCATTTTAATAAACGTCCTAGTAGTCTAAGTAATTTTTTTTTGTATTCCAGCATTATAAAAGAACCTTTTCTGTTGCAAGAAATCGTTCTTAATCGGGAATTTTACGCCAAAACTGACGACGTATTAGATTTTATGTAACGAATGATTGCGTCTTCACACATTCAGCCAATCGTAACGAGAGAATCGTGGGGAGGTAGAGCTAAACGGAACAGCCGACCACCGTTTACTCGCACGATGTCAAATACCCGAGTTGTCACAGGGAAGTTGTTTCGCAAAATTAAGTTTGATTCTCTTATACATGTATAATGCTGTTATACAAAAAATATAATATGCAACTCCTTTATAATGTTGCTTTATTACATTCGTACAAATTTGAAAACTCGCTCCTAAAGTCGCTCGTTTTCAAAACATATACTCATGCAATAAAGCTTAACATCATAAACTAATTGCATAAACTACTATTAATGCCCACTTCCCTTTTTAAGTGTCTGAGTGCAATTGCCTCTGTCCCACCGTGTATAGTGAAACTGAATAGCTTATTGCACTGTACCACAAATAGTGACGCGGCACTGCTGTTTGGCGTGGTTTAAGATACGTGCACAGGATTGCATGCGACTGAGGCGGGTCGATTATCTAATACATCGTACGGCGTGATATATGTACTACATTATTCAGGGATAAGATTGAGTTTGTTTCCTAGTATCGCATTTGTGTTCAATACACTAGAGTATAAACGGTTGATTTGACGGCAATAGAGTATAAACGGTTGATTTGACGCATCCACTGATAAGCGAAGCTGTGAGCCGCGGGAACAAGGAGACTTTAGCGTGACTCCGCGATTGCAGTCGCGTCTGTACGAGGATATCGTTGGCGCATCGCAGAGGGAGACTGTGAGAGGATTCATTTGTAGCATTGTTGCTGTTATGAGCAAGTGTGTCAGATGAGATCGGCGCCGCAGAAGAAATTCTTGTGACAGGGTTTGCGTAGGAGTGGCACGGACAAGAAGTCTAGCACAACGACGTGCGTATGTCGCGAGCGAACATTGCATCACTGAGGAAGTCTGTGGCAGGATTCATGTGTAGGACTGACATGTTTGGGACGAACGTGAATCGCGAACGACATGGGCGCCTTGTCGCAGAGTGCGTGGACAGGCGTGGTGTAGGGGCAAGCGCGATTGCAGCGGCGTGCGTGTGTTGCAGGCGACTATCGCATCGCAAAGCACGTCTGCGCGCGTGTGGCAAGGCGCATGTATGTAGGAATTACGGTTGGTCAAGCGTGTGTCGCTCAGCATCAAGCTACTGTCTCACCGCAGTGGCAAGGTGCATGTATTGAAGAGTGATACCGGGATTAGCGAGTGTCTCAAGCAACTTCGGGGTCGTGTCGTAGGCGACGTCGGGGTCGTGTGCGAGAGTGCATGGATGGGAGGGTCGGTGCGACGATAGACGTGGCACTGGGACGCGTGAGTGCAGGGACACGCGTGTGTTGCAGGCGACTTCGGTGTCGTGTTGTACGGTGAATGGATGTGAGAGGCTATGGAGCGACAGCGAGTTAAGTGGTGCGCTTGTATCGCAGACGACTATCTCATGGCAGAGGAAGTCTGTGTGGTAAGGTGTATTTCGACAGAAGTAACGTAGGGATGAGCGAGTGTCGCAGACGACGTCGGGATCGTGTTGTAGGGTGCCTGCATAGGAGTGACGCTGAGTCGAGCGTTAGTTGTAGGCGACGATGTGCAAGGGTGCATGTATGGGCGTAGCGCTGGGGTAAGCTCGAATGCATGGGCGCGCGTGTGTGGCAGGCGACTACCGCATGGCAGAGGAATTCTTTTTCATAGACCATATATGTAGGAATAAAGCTGGTTCAAACGAGTATCGTAGGCAACTTCAGCGACGTGTCACAGGGGGCATGTTTAGGCGTAGAACTAGAACATGCGCGTGTGTCGAAGGCGACTGTCGCATCGCAGAACAAGTCAGGTCACGTGTGTGTCAGGGCCATGCATGTAGAAGTGACTCTTAGCTAAGCGTGGCTCATAGGTGACCGTGTGCAAGGGTGCATAGATGGGCGTGGCTCTGGGATGAGCACGACGCTAGGACAAGCGCAAGTGAATGGGTGCGCGTGTGTCGCAGGCGACGACCTCATCGCAGAGGAAGTATGTATCAAAGAGCATATATGTAGCTGGTATAAACGAGTGTCGCAGGCGACTTCAGCGCCGTGTCGCAGGGTGCATGATTGGGCATAGAGCAGGCACAAGAGCGTGTGTAGAAGGCGACTGTCGCATCGCAGACCAAGCCAGCTCGCTTGTGTGGGAGGGTCATCCATGTAGGAGCGACGCTTGGCTAAGAGTGGGCCATGGGCGACAGCGTGCACGGGTGCATAGATGGGCGTGGCTCTGGGATGAGTAAAGCGCTAGGACAAGCGCGAGTGAATGGGCGTAGCGCTGGGGCAAGCTCGAGTGCATGGGCGCGCATTTGTCGCAGGCGACTACCTCATCGCAGAGGAAGCATTTATCAAAGAGCATATATGTATCTGGTATAAACGAGTGTCGCAGACAACTTCAACGTCGTGTCGCAGGCGCTGGGCACGGCGCTGGGACAAGCTCGAGTGCACGGTCGCGTGTGTGTGCCTTAGACGACAGTCGCATCGCAGACTAAGTCAGCTGGCGTGCGTGAGAGGGTCATGCATGCAGAAGTGGCTCTTGGCTAAGCGTGGGTCATAGGCTTGGCTCTGGGATGAGCACGGCGCTGGGACAAGCGCGAGTGCACGATCGCGCGCGTGTGTCGCAGGCGACTACCTCACCGCAGAGGAAGTCTGTGTCACAGAGCAAACATGTAGGAAAAAAGCTGCTACAAACAAGTGTCACAGACGACTTCAGCGTCGTGTCGCAGGCGCTGGGCACGGCGCTGGGACAAGCTCGAGTGCACGGTCGCGCGTGTGTGTGTCGCAGGCGACTACCGCATCGCAGAGGAAGTCTGTGTCACAGAGCATATATGTAGGAATAAAGCTGGTACAAACAAGTGTCACAGACGGCTTCAGCGTCGTATCGCAGGCGCTGGGCACGGCGCTGGGACAAGCTCGAGTGCACGGTCGCGCGCGTGTGTTGCAGGCGACTACCTCATCGCAGAGGAATTTGTGTCACAGAGCATATATGTAGGAATAAAGCTGGTACAAACAAGTGTCACAGACGACTTCGCGTCGCAGGCGCTGGGCACGGCGCTGGGCACGGCGCTGGGCACGGCGCTGGGCACGGCGCTGGGACCAGCTCGAGTGCACGGTCGCGTGTGTGTATGTCGCAGGCGACTACAGCATCGCAGAGGAAGTCTGTGTCATAGAGTAAACATGTAGGAATAAAGCTGGTACAAGCAAGTGTCACAGACGACTTCAGCGTCGTGTGGCGCTGGGCACGGCGCTGGGACAAGCTCGAGCGCACGGTCGCGCGTGTGTGTCGCAGGCGACTACCGCATCGCGGAGGTGGACCGCGTGGTGCGGCGGCTGCACGCGCAGTACGGGCGCGTGGTGCGGCTGGCCGGGCTGCTGGGGCGGCCCGACATGGTGTTCCTCTTCCACCCCGACGACATCGAGCGCGTGTTCCGCTCGGAAGACGCCGCGCCGCACCGCCCCTCCATGCCGTCGCTCGACTACTACAAGCACGTGCTGCGCCGGGACTTCTTCGGGGAGCACCCGGGCGTCATCGCAGTGTGAGTAGCGCGCCCGCGCACCAAGCTACATTACATTTGTTAATAACAATTAAGGTTGACAACTTGGTGGCAGAATACACTAACTTAACGTAACAGAACTTAACAAATTTACAAAATTGACAAACTTTACAAATTGACGTGAAGATTTCACCGTGTCAATCTTTCATAGCACTCCATTTCACCACACTTCTCTTCACCGCACTGCGAGTCACTGAACTGTACTGTCTTTCTTACACACTCGTTTCCCTCAGTTTCACAATGCCACTGCACTGCACATAATTAATAATAGTAATAATAATAGTAATAGTAGTAATAATAATAAAAATATAGAAGACAGTTATTTACACTGAATAATATAAAAGATATTTATAATACACATATCAACATTCAGGAAACTCAAAGGTGCGTCAGAAAAGGGCTACATGTCCGCCAGGAAAGTCTCCTCGCACCCAACCGAATCAGTGACTTCTACTACAAAGTGCATTTATCTTGGTAGCAACCAGATCACTGGGAATCAAATTGAGGGGATAACACTTTCATCGTCTGTTATGATTGTGCTGAGTGCGCATTTTACGTTTTCAAGCTGCTACTAACATAACTTCTGTTGAAGCACTCTCGCCAGCCTAGAAAGATACCCCTGCGGAGACTATTTCGGCGCACTTGGCGCCAAAATCCGATGCTGTTCTGTCAAAAATGGATCCGATGCTGTTCTACTTCCAATTCATGGAGGTTTGCCCTTAAAGATATCACTCTCATCGGAACATCGCCTTAGCCGGAACAAACTCAAAGCCCACGACTGGACTTTGTGTTTTAGTACATGTAGTTGTAAATATGTGGAAAAGAAGAGGAAGGAATGAGGATGAAGGAAGAAAGGATCGCGCGCGTTCTTTGATCTGTTTGTTATGGCGGTTTGTTAATAAAATAGTTTTAAAACCGTACAAGTAAATGTTAATTGTGTATATATAAAATGAACCGAGTGAGTGGCTGGGCGTTGCGCGCTGACTTCACATTCGAAAGGCCCGGTTCATTCCCGGTGCCAGTCATCCTGACCGGAGTGTTCGTGGTTTACCTTATTCTTCCAGGCGAATGTTTGGATGGTTCTACTGAAATGCCGCGACTGCAAAACCGGCGTTGCTAGCCGAATTCATTAACACCTTGAAGTCACGAACGTTAAGCGAATTGAAATCGTCGCGAATTCCCATTCCGATTACCGACTTGGAACCCCGGGATCTAACAGGGCCAAGGCAAATTGCCGGGACATATAATTATACAACGGAACATATAATAGCAAAATACAAATATGAAATCGTTGTATGCTAAATACCTCCTTTTTTCTAAACATTCCGACTCGTAAATAGAAAATAGTAACTGTTTTAACTGTTCACTCCAGTAGAATCTGTCGAGAATGCCACAAAACTATAGAAATCCATTTCTGCAGAATAGAAAGGGTACATAACAACGGTTTATCTCCTCCCTAAAAAAACAACTTAACGAGAGTCCCGCGTTGGCTATCGTTAAAAGTAAATTGCTGTCAGAGTGAACGGGAGCGAGAGTCCCTAGTTTCTTCTCAATTATTTTCATATTCGAAAGAGAAACGTTTTACACAACCTAAGAAAGCAGATTGCTTCTTCTAGCCATAACGACTCCTGAGAAAAAAGCTGAGGCGAAACTACGCGGTTACAAGAGCGCCCCTCGCGGGGCTTTCACAAAACGCTCCCCTCACCCCTCCGCGTCACGCTGCTGCGCCTGTGTGAAGGGACGTCAGGGCCACGGAACTGTCTGTCTAATCTCATGCCACTACAACGAAGTACGTAACGAAAATAAAATTGCTTTGCATTGTAATACATTCAACATCACTCCTATGCAGGGCATGATGTATAAAATTTTAGGTCAAAGAACGCGCAGCAAATTAATTATTAATTTAAATGAATAGTGATACAGTGTCCGGGGAGGAAACGTCGACACTTCGCACATAAGCTCTTTAGGCAATTTTAAGCATATTTTGTCTAATAAACCACTAGGATACTCCGAATAGTTGAACCGCAATAAGCACTCAAAAGTTGATTTGAAAAAATGCTTTCTAGCCAAAATTTGCATCGTAGAAGCATAGAAGCACTCAAGAAAAATTAACACAATTAAAAAGCACCCGAGTTACACAATTCAATTGATTTTTTTTTATTTCCGGGTTATTTTTTCTTTCTAAACAAATACGAAATCCATTTCTGGACTGACTGGGATGGTTTTATTGAAAGACCACGACCGTGAAACAGGCGTCGCTAGCCCAATTCGTTAAAGGTTAAACAAATTCTAGATATCACTGGTTCCTGGTTGGGTGACCGGCTGGGAACACCGAGATCTTTTGGCGCCGAGGCAGTTGCCCTTTACGGGTCATATAAAGGCTCAATACAAATACGCATCCATCCCGCAAGTCAGCGTCTGCCTGCTAGTTGCTTTTTCTACCAGGAACGAGACGTTGGTTCCGCCCGGGGGGGGAGGTGGTGACGCAAGGCCACGCCCACTCGCCGGCCGACACGCGCGCGAGCGGAGGCGCCCGACACGGGTCCCGCACCGCTCGGCGCCGCCCCGCGGGAGAAAGCACTCGGCATAAAATGACAGACTTGGGAGGAATGTATCAGGCCCACGGGGCGTTTTCTTCCCTTCGGCGGGTTCTTTTCTTCGCCAGCTTTCCCTTCCTCGCTGCAAAAATTGCGTTCCGTTCACTTCTGGGTCGCTCGCACCGGTTCCATTTGAGCGTGGAAATCTTTCGCGAATAAAATAAAAGTTGCTTCTTTGTTGGAGGAATGCGTAATGCAATGTTCTTCGTGGAAAATGCTCGTAGAAAACTAGTCTAAACTAGTAACAGAATGATTTTCGGGACAATTTATTTCTACTTGAGAGCGTAGGCTTCCGCGGCCGGAGTCAGTATTTACTAAGCTGTACGCCCTGAAGAAGGTCGCAGACTGGCAACCGAAAAGTCGGCTCCTTCGCCATGGACGCGGCGTCACCTGGACAGCCTAGTACATTATTTGTACTTTATCTATTTCTCAACATCCGTCACGCGTGTATTTAAAAAAAATTAAAAAATTCTGCATTACGAGTCTTAAAGTTAAAATCTTCATTAATTTTATCGAAGAGCAAATCGAGTATTTGAAAGAAATTGCAGAGTTGTTAGTCGTAACCCCAGGGAGGAAAAATTCCCAAAGTATTTAGAGAAAGCAGGACAAGGGTCAAAAGTTGCAAGCCTGAAAGCCAAAAGCAGGTCGACGAAAAAGCAGGACACCGCGAAGCATCGGACACTTGTACACTCGAGATACAAGGATTGTATACGTTGGCTTCTACTTTGATGAAGTACATCTCTGAGTGTGTCTTCGCTCTTTCAAATGACTTGCATTTCATCCATGCAACCATGCCGCTGTTTTCCGTTCTACAAATGTTGAACGCTACTTCAGAACACAAGAAAGTACATTTCTCAGTCTTACTATAAAGTAACTTGAAATAGTTGATAAGTTAAGTATCCATCATCTCTATTCTTCAATGTTTATGTCATCTCCCACTAATGAAGCACCTCGCCAGCCGGGAAAAGCTCTAAGCTACCATGTTCTTCTGTAAGGGTGTTTACACTTTTAATTACAATTATTTAAGTAGAATGAAAAAAATATTCACTAGTCACAACGTAAACTAGAATATGTTCGAAGTAATTTTGAAGAGGATGATGATATTCCGGACTGATTGATTAAATTGCCTCAGTGACCATATTCCTCCAGATGTCGTGAACCTCGCTCTCATATCCCTCTTCGCCTCGCCCCGTCGTTCTCCCACCACCTCCACCCCCACCATGAGCTCACGGTCCCACTTCTGCGGCACTCTGTGCCGTTAACGGTGCTACAAGGAGAGTCCAGACACCATGCTGCATCATCGACATTCAATGCTTAATGATTTTGACGAACTGGCTTTCTTGTACAATTTAAGCTTTTAACACCTAATGGGTAACTTCCAGATGTAACTTTATTTTAGTAGTTATTCCTTAGTACAGAATTATGACAATAGCGAATAATAATAATAAGAGTAGAACACAGTATAAATGCATCATTTTGTTTTATTTGATTTATTGGTTAGTGATTCCGGGCGCGTTCTGAGTCGGTGTAGTGCATGCTTTATCACGGTAGAAGGCTTGCTGGTTTTCCCCAACCAGGTATCGCTCACTAGCGAAGCACTTCGTTAGCCGGGACAATCTCTAAGCTCCCGACAAGTGTGGTAGTGTCGGGCATGTAAGTGTAAGTGTGTGAAAGTAAGGGGTGAAGACAGGACAAAGAAGTGGAAAGATGGATCGCGCGCGGTCCGTGGCCCGTTTTTTAAGGAACGCTCCGGCATTCGCATGATTTTGAACAGTCAAACCACGGAAAACTACCGATCAGAGTAGCTGGCTAGAATTCTCTTTCAGGCAACTGAGGCTGAATTCGACCTTGAAGTGTAGCTAGCCTCGAAAATCCTGCCATCGTGGGGACTCGAAGCTAGGTATCCCGGTCAGAGGCACTGCAGTGATGTCAGTCGATGTCCTAAGCTGATATGTTTTATTTTCAACGATAGTTGTCTACTTTAATGTATTTCTGTCGACGTTATATTTTCCCTCACTACTCCAAATCTTAAGTACTTAGTCATGTATTCGTACGTAAGTACTCGTACGTTTGATTAATAAGAACCACTCATCTTTTTTCAATACGTAACATGTACTTTAAAATTTCTTCAATTTTGTGAATGTCTCATCAAAAATTGAGTTCACATCGTTCAACCTGTCACAATGATAAGCCTCACCTCCTTTCGATCACTTCTGTTTTAGGCTAGCAACAAATGCATCATGTTTTTCTTCTCTTTCTTTTTGTTTATTTTCTACTTCCCGGAGGTTATTCTTCCTCATCTAGACAATTATCTCTGGGAATTGAAAAAGGAGAGATGCGGAAACTACTTTTGTGTAGAGGAATATGACAGGAAGAAAGAGTTGCTATCGCAGAAGCGAGTTCTCCAGACAATTACTTCATTCTTCAAATTACATGGCGACAATTACTTGCTGTCACCCACCGGGAACGGAATCTTCTACCTCTCGATATATGCTCCTCACTTATAGTAGATTCAGGGCAGATCATTCTTTGCGCTTTTCAGGTACGAAGGCAAGTTACGCGAAGCCAATCCAGTTGCAATTTGCGCCAAACGCAAGTCGTTCCGCGTGACTGGCCACCCTGCACTTTCGTTGCGCAAGCGCAAAATGCCGGCTGCATTTCCCCAGCAATCATCTCGGATCAAATTAGAAGAATTGCATTCCCCAACGTGCGGTATCCACTCGCGCAAAACTGAAGTTCAAAGGCACGGTCTCCTGTGATCTTGATCCTGCGAGAGCTTGGGAGCTGCGAACTGTCGTGAGAGCAACTCCGTCCACATGTTGTTAGCAGGGCGATGCCCCTGTGGAAAGTCGACTCGGTGCAGCCGGCTACATACCACGACGCTCGCGTGATGTCACTTTTGAAACTCACATGTTTCCTCGCGGCAAAATAGCAAGCCATTAGGATGTGGATAGGGTGTACTAGAAATTTAGAAAGACCACAACGGTCAAAGCCAGTTATATTGATCTTGAGGAGACGGAGAATTTCGATCGTTATAACCAATTATTGTGAACATGTGAATTTAGTTAAATATTGCAACATTTGCACAGACAAATTAAAAGGATGTAACAAAATAAAAAAAATTGAACCAAAGACACACCAATTGGTAAAAGAATGGTGAAAAATAATTTATCTATATTCCACGTACGTAATACTTACTGTCTAGGACTACTAGTGATAGTACGTAATTACTACGTACTTACATTCGTTGCAAGCTGTATTTGTAATTATTTTAAGTAGGGTGTCAACCCGGTCTGATTTTTGCGTTTAATTTTGGCATACACATCTTCCATTCTACGTTGTCAGTTCCTCAGTATCATTTGGGCATATGCATTATTTTACTCATCATTCAATAGCACGAACCTTTGCAATGTTGTAACCGCAGGGTTGCAATAAGGTATCTCTTGAATTGTAAACCCTTTTCTCTTCTTTTGCGACTTCCTTCCAATACACTGATGTGTTTCGAGACTGGACAACGGCCACACTGGTTTGGAATGACTAACTAACACACCGCCGTTATTCAGAGATCGGCAGTTGGTGCTCTACGCTTCGATGGAGTCACTTATTATGTGCGATTAGTAGCTACACCAGTTCTTCGAACCAATAATTTGATACAAGAGAGAACTACAAGAAAAAGAGTTTTATTAACAATTGTTCATTGTAACCGGTGCAGTTCCTTGATCAATTGCAGCAAAAGACGTCGCTAAAAGCAATGCATCTTTAATAATAATGTCGTTATAAACGGGATATCAGTTAAGCTGAGTATATGAGATTCTGTTTGGACCTAACATTTTAACCGCTATACCCAGTAGGTCGTACACACACAGGTCATTTTAAAGAGTTTTGATAGTAGTTTTTTTGAATTCAGCAAAGCCTATTATTAGACACAATGTTGGAGCGCTATACCATTAAATTCTTTTAACTTACAATTACTCCGTGTACTCTAAGTTACTACATTATCTTAACTATCTCAGTGCTACTACAATTCATTTGTTTAAGTCTCAAATTTGGGTATCAATTACAACTACAATATTTAGATGTTACATTATTATATCAGAGGTTTCCAACAAAAATTTATTTTCAATACTGGGTTTGCTAGGAAAAAAAACCTATCCTGGGTATTTTCGTAATTTAAGGCGTATATGGAGAAAGCGTAAGAGCATAAGTGGTCTGTAACATATGTTTTCTTAAAAGTAAAGCAGGAACTTATTCTGGCTGAACTAGAGAGGAAAGCACTATTACCTAGAATTGAGAACATAAAGTTATGTAACTAAATTATAGTGAATTTGCATACAACTTTGATTATTTTTAGGCCAAAGAAACGTTTCCAGGAAATATTTCAATGTAAGATTGTTGTATTTACAAAATGATATGATTAGTGAATGAACGTGTCGCAATCCATTATCTCATATACAGCGGTCTCAGAATAAATACTATTACCCACGTGTAGGTCATGTATGGTTTAAAAATAATCTCCTTTTGCCAATAACCATGAGGTGGGAATCTTAAATAATGAAGCTATACAAATTGAAGTTAGATGAACGCTCCCGTGTGGTAGTGAACGCTTCATGCGCTGGTGGATGGTAGGTACACGAAAGCTCTTGCGGCAGAACGTGTACCTGCCAAAGATCAATACACGATGAGTTACATAATTATTTCTGACTAATTGCACTTTTTATCTTCGTTATGTTTCCTACCACGGATTCACTTGCAAAAGGGTCCTCGTCCTAATGATGTTAAATATTGTAACATTTATTCTGTGAGGCACCTGCAGTATATGCTTTCAAGCTCGCCCTTCATGAAAAAATTATTTTTGTACCCCAAAAGAAGGAAACGGTATCGCTATGGTCAGTCCAGTACTTAAGTTTTTGTGGCATATTGAAACATACATACTCTTAACTTTTGTATAATAGATTTGATCATATGATTATTTTTCTTTTGAAACAGAGAAATACGTTTATGCAACTTGATTAATTTGTAAACCGAATAAAGGATGACTAACGGAATAAAAGTCACAACTATTCACAACTATATTTTATGCGAATATGGATGGTTTAGGGCACAAACATAGTACGACCACTCATTGTTATTTTTGAGTTAATATCGTGTTTGGATTCTCCTTCTTTACTACCTAGTGTACAAAAATTGTATATAAAATGGATCACACTTTTTTTTAAAAAAAGGGGGGTCTGAAAACCTGCACAGTGACGGACAGAGTTTTACGTAACAATATATTACATTGTTGGGTGCAAAAATGAGTGTGTGGCGCTGGTGAGTGGCGATTGTTGAGTAGATATCAATTTTAGAGACATCTCGTTCATAACCACCTAGTGTCCATATAATATGTATAAGGCTTTTTTTTCCGAGAACAGTGACTCCATACGTTTCTGAACCCGCACTAACACATTGTTGTTCGTAACAATATATTACATTGTCATGTGTAACAATGAATTTGTGGTGCTGGCGAGTGGCAATTTTTGAGTTTATATTATCATTACAGACCTTTCGTGCGTATCTACTACGCTCATTCTCTATTTCTGATATCATACATTCCCAGAACGCATGGAAAACTTTGTAAAGAATGCGAGCTTCAAAAGCGATATTAATGAGTTCGGCACTCTTTGATTGAAATTTTGAGGAATTACACAAAAAAAACACAAATCCAATCCCGTCATACTTAATATAATTTTAAAAAACACATGTTAGAACGTCCTGTACAATATTCTAGTCTATCTTTACTGGCGATACTTCGCAACTAAAATGAAAGGAAACATCAACATAACCTTACAAAATAGCCAAATACATTATAATGCAAGCAAGGAAATGTGAAGTGGCAAGAGTGTTTATCAGTCCTTCGCACACCAAAGATTTGTAGTAACTGATTTCAGGTTACTCACGGTATTTGCTTCACAGTGGATGTCTGCACAAGTCCAACTCCTAAAAGCCAGGCATCTTTCCCTCCGCGCACTCGCGGCCGGGGATAGCTGGTCGGTGATTCTGCTCCGCTGCAGAATATGGAAAAACTTTTACCTCCTCCCGCGTAAGGTCGCGGGTCGCGTGGCATGTGTCTCGACGCCTCAGTTCCGTCTCATACACCGCCGTCCGTTCACTTCCAATCTTACCACCAGCTTACCACCGAATCCCCCTTTTCCCCATGCACGAACTCACCACCCCGAACGACTATCAGTGTTTATTCCTTGTAGCCGGTGTGAGTTCAGAACTCACTAGCTTAGGTGGCGTTGTCACCTCTAGGCGGCAATCACGCGGGCATTTCAATTTCGTGGTGCCTGCCTCACGTGCGCGGCACTATGTGATTGGTCACACTACCTAGGGTCCGTGTAATGTGTATCATGCTCTTTTTTTAGAATAATTAACGGTCGCTCCATACGTTTCTGCACCCTTACAAATTCATTGTTTTACGTAACAATACATCACATTGTTATGTTTAACAATGAATATGCGGCGCTGGCGAGTGGCGATTTTTGAGTTGATATCATTTGTAGAGACCTCTCGTTCAGGTTGTCTAGGCTATCCGAGACGAGACGCGTCACTGACATGGTGGCTAACGTTTCGGCCAGCGTATTGTACTGCAGTACGTTCTGAAGAAGGCCACAATACGCTGGCCGAAACGTCACCACCATGTCAGTGACCACCATGTCAGTGCCACCATGTCAGTGACGCGGCTCGTCCTGGATAGCCTAGACAACATAAACTCCGGCCGCGGAAGCCTACGCAACCATACCTCTCGTTCAGATCTGCCTCGTATCCAGATAAGCCAAGCTGTATCATGTTTTTTTATTAGAAAACAGTGACTCCACACGTTTCTGCACCATTACAAACTCATTTTTTCTCGCAACAATACATTCCGTTGTTATGTGTAACAATGAGTGTGCGGCGCTGGCGAGTGGCGATTTTTGAGTTGATATCATTTGTAGAGAGACCTCCCGTTCACATCTACCTACTATCCATATAAGTTGTATCATACATTCCATTGTTGTGTGTGACAATGCGGCACTGGCGAGTGGCGATTTTTGAGTTGATATCATTTGTAGAGACCTCCCGTTCAGATCTACCTAGTATCCACATAAGCTGTATCATACATTCCATTGTCGCGTGTAACAAAGAGTGCGTGTTGCAGGCACGGGGAGCAGTGGGTGCGCTTCCGCGCGCGCGTGCAGCAGGTGATGTTGCAGCCGCGCACGGCGCGCCTCTACGCCGCCGCCATCGGCCACACGGCGGACGCCTTCGTGTGCAGGTGAGCCTCGCGTGCATGCGGACCATTTCATCCAAAACTGCGTAGCCCATAATTTACATATAAAAAACATTCAATCCAAATAAAATGTCTTCAATTGATTTCTATCCTCAAATATTTGAAAACGAAATATAAAAATTACTCCACTGTAAGCTAATTTAAACTCATCCAATCGTAGTTCAAAGTTATCTTAACAAAATCGAAGAAAAATGATCACGTTACGTATTTCTTTAGCATTTTGTCTGCTGGTGAGAGAAGCAGGACAGTCTCTATTGTGAATTCTTTTGCGTATGTGACAGGGCGCGCGAGTTGAAAGACTCCAACCCAGAGCAAGAGGCGCCTCCGGACTTCATGAACGAGATTCACAAGTGGTCTCTGGAATGTGAGTACTCGCCCATTGTTCATTGTTTCTTTCTTTCTTTCTTTCTTTCTTTCTTTCTTTCTTTCTTTCTTTCTTTCTTTCTTTCTTTCTTTCTTTTTCTTCTTCTTCTTCTCCTTCTTTGTACATTCTTCTTCTGCGGTGCTGTACCCATATTCCTTGTATTTAATTATTCACTACGCTATACTATCTACTAATTCAGTATATTTATTCAAATAAAAGGTATCTTCCTCTTGCTGATAGATGCATGTATTTCTTATATTTTAGAGCAATAAATGTAAATAGCGTCACACATTAACTACGACCACAGTGGTAGTGTGGTGTACGTGTGAAGCAATTAAGACTTAGTTCCTACGCCCCTCTTGTGAAGCATTGTATAATTACTATCACTAATCATTACACCCTATATCTATCTAAATGATGGAATAGTGACGGGTGAGAAAACTGTTTACCTTATTGTTGATATCGAAACAATGAGCGCAAAATATAATGGTGTTGATACGATCGCACAGGTAAGTACAGTAAAGGTACAATTTTCAAGAAGCATTTGGTGAAGCTTTCATTTGTAGAAACAACAACGCACGCTCATACGATTCTCGTTTTTCTAAATTTCTGAAAGACATCGCCTCGAGTGAGAAACAAGCATGTTTGACGGATAACAAGCATTTTTCCAGTGTCTAGTGTATAAACATTTCTTAATCCATGTGCATATCGGTTTTCTTTGATTAATGTTTGCACAACAGTATACATTTCTTACTGAGCATATTATTTTGTTATATTCACATCTTAATTAAAAGATTTGTGTACCGTCTTCAGGACATTTTCGAAGACATAGTTGAAACAGATTGCACCATTCCAGCTTTCGCTAATGATGATGCAAATTGGGTGGTGTTTGGAAAGTTCTTGTCACTTATTCGAAACGAAGTGACTACATAAACTTTTATATCCAGATGTGAAAGGTAAATGTTCTACCACTCTCTCTTGCAAGTTTTCCCATAGAAAAGTAAATTACAGAGAGTGCACGTACTTCATTCCAATTTATTTCTTTTCGTGCATTGTAGTCACCTAAATCATTCTATTTAACATTTAAACAATTTAAAAAATGTTAAAATAAATCGAGAATAAGAAATAGTTCAAGGAATTTGCTACGCATGTTCTACAAGAAAACAGAAGAATGAACCTCAACAAAACTCTCAACTTTTAATGAACTTTCCGGCGCTTGAACACAATGCAGCATTATTTATAATTCTCCACATCACTTTTTACTCGCAAACTTGCTTAACATCCGACCATTCTCATGCAGCTTTCAACGACAGAAACTTCCTTATGAAATGCTCTGAAAGAAACTTGGCTGAGATAATAAAAATCATGGCACAAAAACAGCAGTGACTAACGACGTTACAACGGAGTAATTGCAATTTCTGTCCAGAGAAAGTAGAATCCATCACATCCTGAGAAATCAGGACGGCACGAAAGGAATAAATTATTGTTTCAAAAGCAGATTATATCATGCAAATCAGGAACTCCTGCGAAGAATTAGAATGAATGAGGAACAAAGACCAGAAATGTCGTCTTATTTGATGGACACACGCACATAAACAGTAATAATAATTGAAATGACTTGTATATTCTGAAATTTTATAGATTTAAAAATTGCGTCTAAATTAATATACTTAAAACTCTGACTCTATATCGTATTTTCGATTAAATATTCAAAATACATATGTCTCAGCTTAGACAAACGTTGCGTCATATGCAGGTACAGATATGGAAAATGTCGTGTTTGTAACTCTGCAGTGATATTTTCCTTGTTAGACAGCATAAAACAAGCGCATGAATTTTCATCTCTACGCGAGCGGCTCCGGCCACTGGAGAAAGCGGTGGAGACCGCAATGACGTGTTTGCTCTGAGGTGCTGTAGTGCGCGTGCGCCGGTGACAAAGAACTTCCCTCCCCCCACCCCCACCCTCCGCTTTCAAGAAGGCACTTCCCTTACACGCGCGTCAGCTCTTGCCTCACGCTCCTCTCCACTCATGGCCCCCTACACGCCCATCTGCTACTTCTAGAAGACCCCTGCGGGGGGGGGCGGATGGTCGCTAAGGCTGAGGCCCTAGGTGGAGGCGGAGACGTCCACCCGGTGCCTGAGTCTCTCGGCGTCACTCACGTCGTTAGCTTCAAGCTGAAGGAAGTGAGTAGGTGGCTTACCACCGATCTTTTCGTGGGTTTGGGCGTGGAGACCGTTAGCCAGCATCCTCAGTGCAGCGGGGCGGTGGAATCCCACATACATAAAAGTCAAAAGGGGGACATGAACCTCCCTGTCAGGTTGCTTAGGTTCTGGCGGTACTCACGTCGATAGCGTGAAGGAGATTGCAGTTAGGATTCGGGAAGGGGCCCCAAGCCTCCCGAGCCTTAGTTCGGGTTGGGCTCTGGCTTCTTCGTAGCAGTGATCCGTTATTGTCCGATTTTCTTTAGAATGGGATGATTTGTCAGCTAGTGCTGGCAACACAACTGACGATTCTGTGGTCGTTGTGTCCTTGAACGTATTAGACTCTCCTTCCTTCATTCGTTCGTTTGCAGTTGGCTAACTTGTAAATAGTTACGACGTTCCCTGGCTGTGATGTCCTCGTCCGACGAAAATATAGTGCGCCACGAGAAATAATTGAAATTAGGAAGTGCAGAGCTTTGTGCTCTTCTGTAAAAATTCTTTCTTTTTATAAAAATTACATTGAATTTAGTTTTTATGTGATAAGTATTATGTTTGTTTTAAAACCGAGTCTTGAATGTGAGATGCGTACTCGTGACGGTGCACGTGTTTACTTCTCTGAAGTACACGTGATGTTCACTTGTTTCGCGAACTATCACTTTATCCCATTCTTAAGAAAATCGTTCTATACACTGGGAAGGATGGATTTGTCCCGGCGCACTGTGAGTGGCGCATTGATTCGACTCCGGCACCGCCCTGGAAAGCTAAGAGTGTTAGCTCTGAGCTGGCAGAGCTGCCCGACTCATTGAATAGAAAGGTTACCGTGAGGGTAAACTGCGTTCTGGCGGGACCGAGATACCAGTCTGTCGGCGTACTTGTGGTGTGGTAGAACGCGCTCGGATTCTTCTTCTAGAAGGCAGTGGCCTGGTACCGAAATACACTTGTACTGTACTCTCATTCGCAACTCCTAAATTGCTTACATTCCTGTCCCTTGAACAATTACGATTAATCCTAAAGGAAGATTTTCTCCAGAATTGATATTTCTCTCTCTCTCTCTGACCGAACATGAGGCCTTGCTTTGAAACGGATACATTGATTTTAGGACGTACTTTTACTAAAGGTTAAATGACATTTTCAAAATTTTCTGAAATACGGTTCAAAATGTTTTCGTAAAATATTTTCTCTGATAAAGGAAACCACGACATAAAATGGCGCAGGTTCTATTTTCATTGAATTCAGAGTTTTTGAAAATTTAAATAGTTTTAACATATTTCGACGTCTTCCTACTATTACAATATTGAAAAGAAATTTAATGATATGTTTTTTTCAAAATTATAACTTAAATTAATATGTACTTTTTCTAAAATTGTTTTCTGAGTCTGAGTAGTTTTTGTGAAATTTTGAATGACCGTTAAAAACAATGCGAAAAAGTAGTGCTGTCGACTAGTTCATCTTATGTTGCGATCACAAATCTCAAGTTTATTTGCAGAAATTGTCCCAAATTTTTTCGATATATTATTATATTTCATTTAATAACAGATAATCCAAATGTTCGTTGGCTATGGTATACAAATGTTCATCGGCTTCTTTTATCTATGGCATCTGCCGGAATCAAGCCCGTAGCTCAAGAACTCTGGTTAGTGATTCCCGTTGTAGGAGTAGGGACCTAGAGTATTGTCCGAGGACCGCGATACTTCCTTCACTCATTCCCATTCTTGAGGTCAAGCAATCCGCCAATACATCGATAAAGACGAGCCGCCGATAATGCATAAATCCATTTACGGCCCATTCCATTGATTCAAAAATTCTCTGACAAACACTGGGGACCCAGAAAGCAGTAACATGATATTAGTCTCCCCAGGCGCTAAATGTTACTCGTGGCGGGGGAAGCGTAAATATAAATAAAATAATACAAATGTTTCTTTTGATATTTCACTCTTGTTATCGGTCTTTAAACGTTAATGAATCGAGACGAGGGAAGAGAAGATGAAGGATCCAATAATTTTTCTTTCACTCGTTTGTACTCTCTCTTTCAAGGCTCTTCGCCGAACGAGTTCCGAAGTGAAATTGTCTCGAACGTTTCCACCGGGCTCAATTAAATATCTCTTAAATCAGCCCATTTTCCTCATGAGGCTGGCGGCCGAGGCCGGTGAAAACCCGTGCGCAGGAGCTCGTCCCCGGGCCCTCCCCTGTCCCTGCCAGGGCACTTCGCCTCGTGACGACCCTGCCTCTTTCGCGTGACTGGCCCCAGACGGAGCGCACCTTCATTTTTTAACGAGGTTGCAATTATTATTAGTGTCGTAATGTAGAGTAAGCATATCATGACTTCACTCATGGATTGAATGTTTCGTGTTTCCGGGCGCGTACATCTTCCGTGTTTGGTGGCCCCCGTACACGTAGTGTATGTTATTGTTAAGGTAGGTGGGGGTGTACTTCCCACACCCTGAATGCTGAGATTCAACGCTGACCTCTACGTCGGCTTGCAGGTTTTTTCCCAATCAGATATCTGCTACAAGCGAGGCACTACGCGGCATGTGTGAAAGTATATTGAATTGAATTGATGCCTTATTTTACGTGACGAGACTCGGGCCATCAGGCACGCTCTTCCGTCTGACCACGCAAATTTCGCTACGCTCCTTTCACCAACTAACAGAGAAAGGAGGTATTTCGTGGGCGACGAAACAGGCGATTTGAATTTAGCTCAGAGGTGTCATTTAGGCTTGAGGATCTTTTACATGCAAGTACATCTACTAACCTGGAACAGCCGGCTGTACTTACCCTCCAAAGGAAGGCGTACGAAGGTTGTTGTTTTTTTTGCCCTTAAAAACCCACAGCTTCGATCGGGTTTGAACCCGCAAACTTGGGAACAACAGTCCGATAGCGTGTCTCATTTCATCTCAAACATCCTCAATTGAGGATGCACAAGAATTGGTGTCGACGTCTTGAAGACAGACGTGCCACAAGACAGCAATGCGCAATCGAGCATTATCCCCTTGGACACCCATGACACCTTGGAGAAAATTTTTGAAAGGCAGGGCGGTGGTTATAAGGTCTCAGTCTTATGCAAAACCGATGTATTAAGTTAATTAAATGAAAGACTTGATACTTATGAATTATGTTTCTTAACAAAAAATTTACACAAAATAAAATACAGAAAACAAAGAACGGATGAAGGAAAATTCAAATTTGAAAATTGTTGACTTGAACAACTTACCCGAAGAGATGCTAGTGGCACTTCCCAGGAGCACGCATGTTATGCTTTCAAGAGTTCGCAAAAGCACAAGTATAAAGGGCAGAGATGTGCAGTGAAATGTCAAGACCATGTGAAATGCACAGTCGTCTTTCAGCATACGGAAAGTCCAAGAAATGTACGGGCAATGTGCGCTGTATATACTTACTGTTGATGAAAATTACTGGGTACCGATGGGAAATGCAGTAAAGTGAAAAAGTAGAGTGGGCATGTTATATCTATTTTTTATATACGCCTATGTGTATTTTTATTTTATTTTTTGTTTTTTTATTTGTATAATATATCTGTTTTTAATATTTTAAACATTGTTTCCTTTACGTGTTCATATAATTTTGCTTAACTGCTGTCGAGCGTACGCTCATTTGCAGTAATATTTATTATTATTATTATTATTATTATTATTATTATTATTATTATTATTATTATTATTAGGATGTATGTCATTTATTACCGCGCAACACGTTATCTTACGAGGCCCCGGAGAGATGAACGTGTGTAATTATACAAGCTTTTTACGACTTGATAAGACAAAGTTATTACGCCTTGAAATTATGAATTATTAGGCGATAAGATAATAATGAGGGGCGAAGGGACTCTTACAAATACGACCATGTCTAAGCAGGACTCGAACATGCAGCCTCCTCAGCGGAGAAGCCGAGTGCCGCAACCTTTATTACTATTACTATTATTATTATTATTATTATTATTATTATTATTATTATTATTATTATAAATTTCGAGACGGCACTATAGGCCATTTAGCATCGTAGAAATTCGCATCCCACGTCATGATACCAGTTCTCTTTGTGACGCTCAACAATAAACCGCCGGTCTTGACGATTGTCGGGGTACCTTCACGCACGAATCGACCACCTATTTCGCCAGAACACACTGAAACCGAACTCGTTACTGAAGGCCAAGTTCTGAAGTTGACGTCCCTGAGGCTGCTGAAGACACCGGTCCTCTCTTGGTAGCGACAATTCCGTGATGATCTCAATCGTTGCGAGAACGGAGAATTATTATTCTTAGGGGATTAGCGACTGGCGGGGCGCCCCATAACGTCGGTGTTGACTAATTTAGAGACTGGAGAAAGAGTTTTCAATCGTCTCACGTCGTCCTTGGTCTCGTCTTTCTATAAACCTCCAGTTGACGAGATTGTCTTCTTGCACACCGTGTGCTTATGTTGCGTCCAACAGTGTTCCTAAGCTTCATCTTACGAAATATGAGATGAGAGATGCCTCGAAAAGATCAATCAGTTTTTCGGATAGTTTTTAGAACTCGTTCGGGGGCTTGCTCTGATTGCTAACCTCGCCGTATTAATTTTTAAGGTATTAATTTGACCCTGCAGTATTAGTTTGTTTCAAACGAAAAAATTGCATAACAATGCGTGCACATTGCTTTAAAATCATATGGAACTGGCGATTTCATAATTCCTTAAAACTAGCGATACAACCTGTTTCATGCCTATTCTAATCCTTTCTAAAAGGTCTTATTAGTCTGCGGTTCGTCAACAGTAAATACATTTATTTATGTACTAGTGCACCCGACAATTCTTAGCTATTGCAGTGTATTAAACTTCACATGCTACTGGTTACGTGATTGTTAATCGCGTTTAACGCTACGTTGTGCAAACATTCTAATATGTGAAAGACATTTTTGCGAGTATGGATTTGTTCTGTGCCCTGGTTTTGAACATGGTTGACCCTGTATAGATTTACTTGTCCAAGATAACATTCAAGAAATGTCGGGTGTTAATTTTGTGGCTTTCCAGAAACAGTTTCTTAGATCTATCACAAATGCTCCTTGGTTTGTCACAAACTCACAACTCCACAATGAATTAAAAATGGACTCCATACAATAGATATCCACACCATGCATTCCTAGTTAAATTTTCCGAAATAGATTGTTTTTAGAGGTGTCTTCAAAAAGATTTCCTCACCCATATATGTATGTAGTTTATTTTTAGGTAAATTAGAATGTAAGCCTTCAAAACATATGTATAGTGCATTAAAAGTACTGATCTATGTATGTTCTGTAAAAATAAAATAAATAAAACAATAGTGGCCGATATTTCACAATCGCGGAGACAGAATACGCAGCCAAACACGCGCCTAATACATGACGGATGGCGGGTTGCCTAGCGTTTCTGTCGAGGGACTCTTTGAGACATCATTAATACGATTTATCAAGTATGTTCTCACATGACCGATTTAATTCAAACCATTCTTTAAAACCCCCTGATACTAATAAGAACAACGTTGAAAAATTTCAGCGAAATGGATCGAGTAGTGTTTGCCTATATATGTGTTAGACATACTCTAATTGATTGATAGTGATTCCAGGCGCGTTAACTACTATGGCCATTAGTCCCGTAAGTGTAGTGTATTCTCTTCCTCGTGAGGTGGCGGTGATCTTGCTCCACTGGACGGCGAGATTCGGCGCCAACCCACCATAAGCTTGTGCAGTTTCCCCTACTACATATCTCCCACAAGCGGGGCTCCGTCCCAGCCGGAACAAGCTCTAAGCTTCCAGCCGGTCTCTCGGTTTGTGTGGTAGTGTACCCCATTGAAGTGTGTGTGTGTGTGTGTGTGTGTGTGTGTAAGAAACGGGTGAGGATAGAAGGAAGAGAAAGAAAAGATCGCTTGTGGTCCGTGGCCCGTTTGTTAGGGTACTGCTCCGGCATTCGTCCGGTATTGATCGAAGAAACTACGGTAAACCACCGATCATGGCAGCTGGCCGCTAGAATTCTTCTCCAGACACGACACAGGCACATTCCCTTTTATTTACACGAATATAGATTTATTCTTCGAGTATGGATTTATACGTTTAGATATAGATTTATTCGTATCGAATATAGATTTATTTATTTAAATAGTGGCTTTTTTTGAAGATCAGTTAAGCCTGTGCTTCCAGCGCAATGGTGATGTATGTGCGTGTGTGTGTGTGTGTCGGCAGCGATCGCGCGCGTGGCGCTGGACGCGCGCCTGGGCTGCCTGGACGCCGCGGCGCCGCCGCACACGCAGCGCCTCATCGACGCCGTCACCGCCTTCTTCTGCCTCGTGGGCGAGCTGGAGCTGAAGGTGCCCGTGTGGCGCGTCTTCCCCACGCCCAAGTGGCGGCGCTACGTGCAGGCGCTCGACGACATCACGCAGTGAGTGCGGACGCGCCGCGCGTGTGGCGGCCATGGTTTAATGGTTAGCGTGTCGGACTCTTATACCCATGCTGGCGGGTTCAAACCCGATCGACGCCGTGGATATTTAAGGGCGAAAAATCTTTTGTACGCCTTCCGAGGGGAAGTAAAGCCGGCTGTCCCACGTTAGTAGATTTACTTGCATGTAAAAGATCCTCAAGGCTAAATGACGCCTCTGAGCTAAATTCAAATCGCCTGTTTCGTCGCCCAAGAAATACCTTCTTTCTCCGCTAGTTGGTGAAAGGAGCGTAGCGAAATTTGCGTGGTCAGACGGAAGAGCGGGCCTGATGACCCGAGTATCGCCACGTAAAATAAGGCATTAAGTCAATTCAATTCAACGCGCCAACGTGACACGCGACGCTCGGAACTCACGTCGTCGTAATACAGAAAGCATTGAAACTAGTGCAACAGTAAAGGCTTGTCACGTCTGAAGGCCGTCACTTCCAGAGTCGCGAGCTGAGGGCTTGTCGCGTCTGAAGCAGCGTCATTCTAGGGGAAGATACGTGGAAGGGGAAACCTCGCAAGCCGATGTGTAGGTCGGCGCCAGATCTCATGTTTCAGCTGAGAAGGAACAACGACCTTTCATGATATAAACTGCACTACACTTATGGCTCATTATCGATGCAAACGTAAACATAAGCATAACGGATAGACATACATACACGCGTGTATACAACACGTATGGACTTGCTCAGCTAATAGAAAATTTCAGCTGCAACGCGATTGCGCGGCGTATGTACCGCAGAAGTTCCAAATGGCCTTGCCCAGTGAAAGTAAACATTAACATAAGTAAACATTAACATAAGTGATAGAGTGAAGTATCCACAATATCTAACATAAACCTAAGCAAAATAAGAGTTTCTATTGGCTGTGAGACATTCTGGTTACTTTTGGTTGGATGTGAAAATCGATTTCAAGGTATCGACTGTGTTCATGGCCCATATAGTATTAGGTCTTCCATCAACTTCGCTCCAATTTCGATTCTCGATTTTCGGTTACCATTCTGTGATTGGTTCATTTCTTACGTCTTACTTAAGCATAAGCAGAGAAGCTTGAAGCTTGCAAAGCTTTAAGTGACCGTCTTACGTGTTTTGCTTATGCGAACGCGTTGTGAATGAGTCCGCTTATGGACATAGTCCTAACTTTTATGTTTACGCCATGCTTATGTTTATGCTTGCATTGTGAATGGGTGGAATCGTAAGGTTGTAGCGTCATAAAATAAATACGATGTTCAGTCAAACATTTGTTTATATGTTTTCACGGTCCTATTAAGGCGACAGAACAAGTTACAATAAATATACAGATGAGCGGCATAAGGACCGGAGATTTAATGGTGGCCTTGCCCAGAGATCAGTTAAAGCGAAGTAACTACAATATTTATAGTTTGTGCGGCGTGTATACAACACGTATGGACTTGCTCAGCTAATAGAAAATTTCAGCTGCAACGCGGTTGCGCGGCGTATGTACCGCGGAAGTTCCAACTGGCCTTGCCCAGTGAAAGTTTAGCTGTGACACGAAAATGATGACTGGAGTTTGAAGGGTTCACTATTACGCGCGGTGAATACTGTATTACAAATGTAATTGGTATACCTCATGGAGTCTGCTAAAAGCTTCGGAGCACTTGCACAGGACTGTAGAGTTTATACCGGTACGAAATATAGGGATGCACGAGAAATCAATAGGAACATAATCTTCTTTATAGAGCACTCTTAGACAGCGAACTTCTTTTTTCTCTGCTGCGGGTTCTCGTGAGGACAAACACTCACCCTTTTACACCACTTTGACCCACTACTTTGCTCTTACCCGCAATTGGTATGTAGTATCGTGCGGGAAGGCCCGTGAGACATGCAATTCTACAGAACCATTTCCAGATCCAATGTGGGGGAGGGAGCATGTCTCCCTAGTCGCATTTTCGATTAGCTGCTAAACATTTTCAACAATAATCTCGCAACTCTACTACCTTCGATATGAATTCAAAGAAGATTGGCCTAAGATGGTTGAGATCCGGTAATTTTACAATGAAAAATGCCATATTGATTGAAGCGATTACATAAGGTGTGTGGTGCCTTTAGATTTATAGCTCTTTAAGTGACGCTGCGTCTAAATCACAGTTGCCAAGATATCGGCCATCATACTGCAACCTTCTTCAGGTAAAAATACGTAGAGGTGAACTACGAACAGTATTCCCGCTTGTAAAGCAGGTTTGTAACCGTAAATTGATACCGACTAAGCGTTGAATAAAAATGTTAATGTAAATCCCTCATCGAGCTTTGGAAGTTCAAATAGTGGTATTTCCACGGGCTTTTGTGCAACGTCTGTTGTAATGTCCAGCGAGATAACAACGCGTCCTAAAACGTCAGGTAACAGAGAGAGTGTGCGACGGATGTAGTAGAAGATAACTCTGCCTCACGGGTGTAGGCATACGTCCATTGTGCAATGAACGTACTGTTGGTTCCGTGAAAAAAGATTTTTAGTGGGAAGGTCGGTAAAAATTTGCAGCCATTTTAAAGAAAATTTTGAAAATGTACCGAGAACTTAATGTACAGTACCCCTAAATTTCAAAGAAATATTTTCAAATTCTCGGGGCTTTGAGTCCTACCAGTTCGACCAGGGAATATGAATTTTGAAGAAAATTCTGCGAATAGTTTAGACGCTGGTGTTCTTCACAGACTGCACACACACTGGAAAAATAAATTTTTTTCGGTATCAGGGGACCCCGTAATGTGTTTCCATTAAAATTTCGTAATCGATTTTCCGCAGCATTACATAACTTTCTCTAACTACGTATATTATTCCATAAATACGTAAGCATAGGAGAAAATAATAAATTAATTTTGATGAAACTGGCTAACTAATGAAGCTCAAAATAGTAATCCTGCTAATAAAATTCGTGTCCCTTTATCCTCTGTATCTACAGACATTATATTACCTAACTCATTCATGATCTTCAATTTTGTTTTACATTTGTCATGTTTCCTCGATGTAACTCAAACGAACAAGTGGCTACCTAATTATTCAATTTTAAGTACCTATTCATTGGTTTATATTTATTTACTTTTTCCTCAATGACTTGTAGTTACTGCATTCTTATCATACGATTATAACGCAAATGTCACTGCTGCTTCGTATTGGGTGTTCCAGGGTAAAAAAGATTAGAATTGGTACACGTTACATTCTAACCTGAGTGTTGTATTCGTTTTGAAAGAAACCGCACCCATCTTTCCAGTCGCGTGAGAAAGTAATACATCGTAACACGGTCGTGGAAGAGGTTCAGAGCACGTGCCCGCTGCCAAAGAGGAGCCCGTGACAGACGCAGTGCGCGAGAACGTTCATGAAATAAAATCTGCAAAGAAGCGTCCGTAGAGAGATGCTCTCTTCTTTAAACCTTCAGACAAAAGAGCATAAATATTACACCTTTGATTGCATCTCCAAGTTGGAAAGAATGAAGGAATTGTCACTTGATTTAAATACGTACCCTAATGTACTTCAATTTTCCACAGCTCCCTTGAGAACTATTTTCTTTTAAACCTACTTGTCATGTTTAGTGTTATCTTTACACTTTTTCACTCTCCTAGACGTTTACACTTCATTGTAGTTTGGTTCGAAAATCGTTTATTAACAAAAATGAAGCATTTGAAGATTAGTAGTGAAATGACTGAGAGCTGATTAATGCTTTCACGTTCTTACCCACTCTCTTCTATCACGTTGTTTTTATTTTTCTTCTACGACAACGTGAAGTAACTTGGGATATTCATTTTCAAGTGAATATTCTGGAAGTGATTGTGCGTCCACTCTCTTAAAGGGAACGCTTTCTAACTCGCCATTCACTTGTCGCGTCGCTGCCCGCTGGAAAGGTGCGGTCCGGGCGAGGCGTTCGTTTACTGCGATGAATCTGCATACGGTGGCTTCAGACGCTTAGTCTCCGGGCCTCAAAACACCGGCCAACAGGAAACCATTACAGTGCAGAATACTAAGTACACGTAAAAGAAATGTCTAAAAAGGACATGTATGAATTTTTGTTACATCTGTTTTCCTGTACTTATACCACTATACCTCTCAGCTGCTCATATGTAAGTTAAATACGAAACGTGTTGTTATTAATTTTTAATTTATAGTAATTCAAGGAATCTTAAGGACTTTACAAATTTGTAGCATGATTCTATGGATACAGAATGTTTGTATTCAAAATCGAAGAGTAAAAGTTTATATTACACAATGAACTGCTTATGTGGGCTTCTCCCCCGTGGATTCATAGCCACATCAGCTGCCTGAGCGGCGTATCTCCTCCCCTTCCTCTTCCCCATTTCTATCTTTGCCTGCGCCATCTTACTCTTTCCAACTTCCAAGAGCACAGCTGAAGTTCTTCAGTTCTGAATAAATTTCTGGAGAGTCATTTTAATGTTTTTTTTTTTTTCTAGGTGCTTGGGTGTTTTATTTACATATTATTTGGGCATGATTACTTTTGAGGATTGTCGTTACGTCTGAAAATGGGCGGTATTATTTGTGGAACGTTCTTTACTTCTTTGACTCTTCGTAACTCACTTGCAATTTTCATCACTGAACCCTCTGTAATCTGAATTCTGATCCTCCTCATAGACATTCCCTCGTGTTTTATTCTCGGTCATTTAATTATTTCTACTTATTTATTCCATTTCATTTTTCAAATTATCAGTTTACACATTTTACTTTTCTGTCTCCCCTATCAGAATGCTTCGTAAGAACTATTCAGATATGTGAGCGATGGCTTTCCAGACTCTGAATCGCATCCGTTAGCTTCCCCCGCCGTGTGGTTGCTCACGTTCTTCTATCGGGTCTTCCTCATCCTCCAATGTCAGTGGTTTTATTCTCCGCTCTCTTTCCTTTATGGAAGTACGCACGAGATGACTTTCCTTGCTGCTTTCTCAGTGTGATTCCACTTTCTACTTAATCTCGAAGACCTAAAATGCTCCCCAGATATTCGATCACGGCCTAATCTGATGCAACCTGATCTAACATGGCTCCGCGACCGCTTAGCATGCTGCCAAGTGACATGTTTGCTGCTTTCACTTCGGAACTCAGGCGGATGGTCTAGTTGCCAGTGGTAACTGCCCGGACGATCTTCCGCCGAATAATCTGGACTATTTCTAGGTCAAAGCATTTCTTTCTTTGAGGATTCTGCATGACACATTCCTCGTGTTTCGTTCGAATGTTCATTGAAAGAATAGGGAAAAAATTTCACAATGCAGTGAACAGTATATTCTTCAAATATCGCGATTTCCACATCATCAGTGGTTTTTTATTCAAGTTACAAATTACGGAGAAATATTTAAAGCAGGGGGGTCCAACTTCCAATGCCTCAAGGACAAAAACTATTACTAAAACGGGCCATATTTTCATTATTCGGGCCGTCCACTTGTGATCCCGCATTGTTGAACTCGGCAGTTCACCCGGCTTTTCGAAACAGAGGAGGCATGGAACCATGTGTGATATCAGGGAGTACCACAACGCAGTGAAACACAAATGAATGATTTTGGAATTCAGAATATACTAGGGAAAAAATCCTTAAATCTAAACTTTACCTATTTTTGCATTAAGGGGTGTTGGTCTCGTCAGGCCGTGTGTGTTTGGCACACAATGTTCCCAGTCGGATGAGCTTTCACATCTCACTAATGACACTTCGCAGGCTACAATAAATGACACCGCAGGACGCATGCGGCCCGCGGGCCGCCAGCTGGACAACCCTGATTTAAAGCGAACATCTCACAAACATGTTACAATCTGGTGTATGTTTTCCAACGTCATTTTGTGAAACTGGGGGAAAATATACAAATATTAAAATCATTGAAAGTGGGGAAATAATACCTGATAAATGTCCGATTAACATTTGAAAAGAAATATTATTCACCGCTACGTAGAAGATCGTTTCTGTCTCTAATCCTTCATCATGATTTTCCACAAGTTTTCCGTCGGAATCCTCGAAAAAAACATCCCTTTCTACTCATTTTAAACTTAAACGAATCATTTAGGATGGTACAAAATTATATTTATCGCATTTCGAACAACAATTTTAAACGAAAATCGTAAAGCTTCATTTTGAACCATTCACGAACCAGCCCGTTGTTGGGAGCAGAGGCGTCAGGAAAGTGGGGCGGCGCGGCGTCGCTCTTGGACGCTGGTCATTGCCCGGCACTTGGAAGCAGCCAGACCGAAGCATCGCATTGTGTAAGCTCTGCGACAACAAAAGAAAGTGGCTTGCGTTGACGGAAACCGCGAGCACTGGGTGACGCGACGAGCAAATGCGAGGGCGGGTCGCGGGCGGGGACGCGGGCCGAGGCGCGGGCGGGGATGAGGGCGGGGAT